AAAGGCAGATATGTGTACTTCTTGTTTTATCTTTCGTTGTATTATATATAACTGAATCTATGTACAAATATCGAATTAAAGAACATGTTTCTAGTGTGATCCGTTATAGAAAATGGTCCTTACTTATGGTAGACTCATGTATTTCTAAATCGGAAAGTTGGAGATTGGTAGAGTTTTATCAATGGTTTCTAGAGCAATTTCTTAGCTTTTCGTCCAGTTTATCGCATAAAAAAATAATTGCAGTATATTAAGCACCTCTAATGAGCCTTATTAAGGTTGATATTCCTTTTATTAATCAATGTTTCCATAATAATTTGATATCTTTGCGTCGTTGGCATTCTCATTAATATTAATTAAAACTAAATCCCATTTTAACGTTATCAATATCCATTTAATTTTCATCACGGTGGTGAAATATTCATGGTCACCTGATGAATATGAATGTCCTCATTATTACTATTGTCGTTAATACCTTTGTTTCTTATTTTTACCTTTGCTGTTAACCCCAACTGTCATAATAATTATTGCTTTTCATCATAAAAAATATTACATATATATATAATATATATATATATATATATATATATATATATATATATATATATATATATATATATATATATAGTATGTATGTATGTATGTGTGTATATATATATACATATATATAGATAGATAGATAGATTATATATATATACTTAGATATGTATATATTTTTTCCCTTTTTTCTTTTTCTTTTTTATATTTTTCTAATAACCTCGATTCCAGTTTGTATATTGACTATTAGCTGCAGCAATTATGTCATATTGCCAATTTGCTTTTCACATGAAAGCCGCCATTGCAAAAAATGCATCGTCGTTCTATGTTTTTAGAATATTCAGTATTATTCATTAAAGATACTCATCAACATGCGAATCTGTTTATTTATTGCGTTCTTTCCATGGTCCATAATTATTACAGTAGATAGTGTTGCATATACGGAGTTGTTTGAAGCCGGATACGATATTGTTTCTATGAATTTCAGGCGACTTTGCTTCATGGTCTCTCGCCAACCGAAGTCCCAGGAGAGTCAGCGACGTCACACGATTTCCGTCTCCTGGGTATCCGGCGACCCGACCGCGAGCTTGTACGAAGTCCTACGACTGCAGGTCTTGGCTCGCGGTTCCCCGGGGATCGTCTGGCTCTTCCTCTTCACTTCGATTATCCGGAATTTCTCTCGCTTTCCCTCCTCGTTGGGCGTGCGAGCGAATACCCCCGTGTCCGTGGGCGAAGAGGGCGGACGGCGACGCCCATCCACGGCCGCAGGATCCTCTCGAGGGCGTCGCTGGGGCGGGCGGACCGGCGGCGGCGAGGGGGACAGGCTCGCTTCCGACGACGTCTCCGGGTCGTCCTCCTGCGGCATCTCGAGCTTCCAGTGCACCATGACGTCGGCGTGGCTGGGCGAGACGGGCGAAGGAGGGCCTCGGGGCTCCAGGCACACGCCCGCGCTCTCCTCGCTCTCGCGCCGGAACCTCACGCCCACGCTCCCCTCGCTGCTCCGCCTCGCCCTCGAACTCACGCTCCCCTCGCTATTCCGCCTCGTCCTCGAACTCACGCTCCCCTCGCTACTCCGCCTCGCCCTCGAACCCGCGTTCCCTTCACTCCCCCGCCTCGTCCTCGAACTCATGGCTCCCTCGCTGTGCCGCCTGATCCTCCTAGCCGCACTCTCCAAGCTATCCAGCCTGACCCTCAGTCTCCCTCTCCCTCGATGCGGCGCCCCTCCGCTCTCCCTCTTGCCCGAAGGAGTGTCGCTCGGGTCCTCTATGGTCACTGCTACGTGACCTTGACCTCGTTCGTCGCGCGGGGGCCTCGGGTTCTCTGCGGAGGTCAAGAGAGCGAAATAGTACCGCGTGTATGTAGATGGGTCCGCCTTCTCTTACTCTTCAATCCGTAAACTTTTCTATAAAATCTTTACAGACAGAAAAATAGTAAATAATAACAGAAATATAATAATAGTAAACAGAAATAGTAATATAGTAATAAACAGTAATATAGTAACAGAAATAGTAAAATAGTACAAGATACAGAAAAGTAATAATAGTAACAATAGTAACAAATAAAAAATAGTAATAATAGTAACAAAAAACTAATAAATTAAAAAAAAAAACTAAAATGCACCATCGTTTATTTCGAGTTTTGAAGAGGAAACGGCAAATCTGAATACGGTTTATTAATTTCATACAAATTAAGCTTTCCATGCCGCTCTACTGCACATCCATCTAAATTAAACAAACTGTGATTACTTTATATGAATTTCAATTGCATGTTGTTGTTTTTTATGTGCATGCAGTCGTGTGTACAAAATAGATGTACATGTATACAGAATGAAGGGAAGAGATTGTATGTGTTCATTGAGGAGAAAGTGACTTTATGGGATTCATGAACATTTTTTTGAAACTTTATGGATTAGAATAGAACAGTTAAATGTCATGTCTAACTGGCTGACTGAACGACTAACCGACTGAATGTTTGTCTGTCTGTCTTTGACTATCTTACAATCTCTTTCTCTCTCTCTCTCTCTCTCTCTCTCTCTCTCTCTCTCTCTCTATATATATATATATTATATATATATATATATATATATATATATATATATATATATATATATATTATATATGTAAGTGTGTGTGTGTGGTTGTGCATATGTATATATCTACACACACACACACACACACACACACACACACATATATATATATATATATATTATATATATATATATATATATATATATATATATATATATATATATATATATATATATATATATATATATTATGTGTGCATATATATATATATATATATATATATATATATATAATATATATATATATATATATATATATAATATATACATATACACACACACGCACACACACACACACACAATATATATATATTATATATATAATATATATATATAATATATATATATATATATGTATATATATATATATATATATATATATATATATATATATATATATATATATATATATATATCTACATTTCTATATATATATATATATATTATATATATATATATATATATATATATATATATATACTCTCTCTCTCTTTTATTGCATCTCCCTACCTGATCCGCTGCATTCATCTCTTGTTTCTCCTTTGTTCTCATCTTCTCTTCTCTTCTTCCTTTTCTTGGATTCTTCTTTTCTTTGCTTATGTTTTTCTTTCCTTTCCTTCCTTTCTTCTTCGCTGTCGCCTTCTTCGTGTCCCATCTCCTCTCGCCCGGCATTTCTCTCTTCTGTTTTTCTTCTTTCTTGTTCCTTTCTCTCTTTCGCTTTACTGTCGTTTTCTTTCTTTTTTCCCTCCTCCTCCTCATCGTTCGCCTTTTCGCGCCTTTTGCGTTTTTTCTCCTTCTTCTTCTTCCTTCTTTTCTCTTTCGCGCCATCGGTTTCGAACGCGTCCTCTTCGTCCGTCGATGCGCTTCTTCTCCTTCCTCTTCCGCTTCTCGTGGCTCTTGCTTTTCCCTCTTTCCTTCTTTCGTTTCCTTCGTCGCCCTCTTCTCTCGCGTCTTTTGCTCTTCCTCCTTCTTCTGCTTGCCTCGCGCCTATTGGCTGGAGCTCAAACTCCTCCACTTGGTTTATTCCTCCTTCTCCATTCCTTCCATCTCCTCTTCCTTCTCTCCCTCCATCCCTCCTCTCCTTCTCCTTCCTCCCTCCTCTCCCTCCTTCTCCCTTCCTCCTCTCCTCCTCCTCTCGACGTCCTCCTCACCACCAGCACCTCCACCTCCGACTCCTCGTCCTCCTCCTCCCCCGCAGCCAGGATCTCGATGGTTCCTCCCTCCTCCTGCCTCTTCAGGACTTCCCCCTGGATCTTGATGGCCGCCCCTAGAAGCGTGCGGATGGGCGGCTGGGTTGTCTGGTCGATCCTGCGCTTGTGGCGTCGGTGCTTCTTTGTGGGAGAGTTGGGCGGGACGAGTTTCAGGGGCTCCTCAGGGGGCGTGAATGTGAGCGACATCTGTTGGCGGAAATATCGGGGGGTTAGAGCTGTTAGGAGTTGAAATATCATCATGTTGGCGGAAAATATCGGGGGCTGTTAGTGACATCTGTTGGCGGAAATATCGGGGGGTTAGAGCTGTTAGTGACATCTGTTGGCGGAAATATCGGGGGTTAGACCTGTTGGCGACATCTGTTGGTGGTGTTTGGTAGTTTAGTTAGTGTTACGAAAAGATATTGGTGAGACGTTTCATCGTTCGTCTAGCATTGTTATTGATATCATTATTCTCTTTATTATTATTTTCATTATCACTATTATCATCATTAGTATCATTATTATTAGTAGTAGTAGTCTTAGTATTAGTATTATTGTTATCATTATTATCATTATTATTTTTATTATCATCATTATCATTATCATTATCAGCTTTATCATTATCATTGTTTTTATTATCATTATTATCATTATCATCATCATTATAATCATAATTGTCATTATCATTATCATGGTTATTATCATTATATCAGTAGTAACATTTAATCACCACTACCTTCATCATTATCGTTATTCCCATCATATATCATTACTATTATCATGATGATAATTTTTTTTTGTTACCATCAATATCAAATTCACTATCATCATCATCATTACTACCATAATGATCATAAATGCTATTATATGATTATTTTTATTATTACCATTGTTGCTGTTATGTTATGATTATTTTTATTATTACCATTGCTGTTATTATCATTATCATTATCATAATTTCCATCAACGATTGGAAATTGTTTTATCAATCATTATTTCATTTTAACCCAATCTGTTCAGGGAAAATGGCAATACGGTTCCTACGTTTTTTTTTTTTTTTTTTTCATAAATTCAATAGATTAGGATTCAGTGCCTCCACCTGATACGTATAAGGCAGTATGTAGCTTGCATCATTAGGCATCTTGGCTAATTATGACTGCTGAATTTTCTACAAATTGGCTAATTATGACTGCTGAATTTTCTACAAAGAATCAGTGATCCAGATGTTAAACGTAAGTAAACAAATAGAGAAAAAACAGAAAAAATACTTCTGTAAACAATTTCTTATTCACATCTAATGAAAGTCGAATATGTATATATACATACATAGGCACATGCATACACGCAGACACACACAACACAACACACGCACACACACACACACACACACACACACACCACACACACACACACCACACACCTACACATACACACACAAACTCACAAAACATACCCAACAAACACACACACACATACACACATACACACACACACACACACACACACACACACACACACACACACACACACACACACCACACACACACACCACACAACCTTACCCTGGTGAAGTGTGTCTTGATCACAATAAAGTAGTGGATCCCCCAAACCAGCTGGAAGAAGGAGGCGAACCCCCTGACGGAGGGGGTGTAGGGGAGCGTGATGCAGAACCACAGGAGCTGCATGACGATGCTCACAGTCGCCCACGCGAGCCACACGCCCACCATCCATCTGATCTCCTGTGGGGGAGGGAACACGTGCTTTTTGTTCGTTTGTTTTGTTTGTTTTGTTTGGTCATATAGATTTATTGTTACTGTTGCAGTTATCATACATATGTTTTTGTTGCAGTGGGTATATATATTGAGGAGCAGTAGTATAGTATAGTAATAGTAATAAGTAAGTAGTAGTAAGTAGTAGTAATAGCAGTAGTAACAGTAATAGTAGTAGTAGTAATAGTAGTAGTAAAAATAATAGTAATAGTATTAGTAGTAGTAATGGTAATAGTAGTAGTAATAGTAATAATAGTAGTAGCAGTAGTAGTAGCAGCAGCAGTAGTAGTAGTAGTAGTAGTAATAGTAGTAGCAGTAATATAATAGTATAGTGTTAGTAGTAGTAAATAGTAGTAGTAGTAGTAGGATAGTAATAGTAGTAGTTAGTAGTATAATAGTAGTAGTAGTAGTACTAGTACTCTTACTACTACTAAAATTGCTACTGCTACTACTACAGCTACTACACACACGACCTTGAAATAAAAAAAGACAGAAAATCATACAAAAAACAATCACACACGAAAATCATTCAACCAACAAACAAATAAATGAAACAAACAAACAAAATCCAAAGCCACCTACCTTCCTTGCGCCGTGAATGAGGAAACAGCTCATGACCCATTGTATTGCGTTGATTCCCCCGCTAGTTAGACCGAGGTAATGGTCTGTGGAACAAGATGGTCGTTAGTTGTGAATGGTTTGGGCTGTCTTGTGTTGAATGTTTTTTTCTCTTTTCTTTTCTTTTCTTCTTTTTTCTTTTTTTCTTTTATTTTTCTTTTCTTTTTTCTTCTTTTCTTCCTTTCTTTCTTTTACTTTATTTTTCTTTTCTTTTATTTTTCTTTTTCTTTCTTTATTTTTTTCTTTTTACTTTTTTCTTCCTTTTCTTTCTTTCTTTCTTTCTTTTTCTTTCTTTCTTTTTTAATGGGAGAGAGTGAGGAAGGGAATGGGTGATAAAGAGGGGAGGAGATAGATTGCCTATTGGGCTGATAGACATAGATGTGTTAATAGAAGGAGATTGATTAAGAGGTAGGTAGGTAGAGAGAAGGGAGGGAGAGAGAGAGCGAGAGCGAGCGAGAGAGAGGAGAGACGAGAGAGAGAGAGAGAGAGAGAGAGAGAGAGAGAGAGAGAGAGAGAGAGAGAGAGAGAGAGAGAGAGAGAGAGAGAGAGAAAGACAGAGGGAGGGACTCTTTACCAAATGATGATCAAATTTTAATCATCAACATCTGATTATCATCATTACCATAATAATTTTCATATATAATTTTACTATCTCTGCAACAATCAGTACTACTACTGCTGCTGTTGATACAGCTGTTGCCACCATTGTTGTTAGTAAAGCCTATTACCACCAGTTCAGCTGATCATAATAATAATTCAATGAAAATTTATCAATCCATTACTAGTATTATTATAGTGCACCCATACAGCTGTTCTTCATGAATCTATTGCTTTCGTAATTATTTTCACACACCCAAAGCTGTTCTTTCAATTTTTATTGCTACATATTTCGTATATTTCCACCACACCCACACAGGCTGTCTTCATCAATCTATTGCTACATATTTCGTAATATTTTCCATCATAATCTACGTATGCCTTCGTACATCATTCATCTTATTACCTAATACCTGGACATCCCCTTACTATCTTTATCTTCACCATCAACTTAATTATTTATCTACGTATTTCTTAATTTTACATACATTCATCTTATTACCTAATACCTGGACATCCCCTTACTATCTTTATTTTCACCATCAACTAATCCTTTAATTAATCTACTAATTTATTAATCTACGTATTTCTTCATTTTACATACATTCATTTCTTTAAATTAGTGTCTTAGTATCTTACTTAGGTTGTAGTCGATACAGCGTGTGCAGTAGACGTTGGGAAGGTTGGCAGAGATGAAGTCAAATAAGGTGGCAAAACCTCCCCATACCTGAAGGAGGATGGGTATCCATTAAGACGTGTGTGCGTGTGTAAGCTGTGGTTTTTCTTGTCTTGAGATCTTTCTTTCTTTCTTTCTTTCTTTCTTTCTTTCTATTTCTTTTTATATCTCTGTCTGTCTCAGTCTCTTTCTTTCTATATTTCTCTCTTTCTCTGTCTCTGTCTCTGTCTGTCTGTATCTCTCTCTCTCTCTCTCTCTCTCTCTCTCTCTCTCTCTCTCTCTCTCTACTCTCTCTCTCTCTCTCTCTCTCTCTCTCTCTCTCTCTCTCTCCTCTCTCCTCTCCTCTCTCTCTCTCTCAGTCTCTTCTCGCCCCCCCCCCCCTCTCTCTCTCTCTCTCTCTCTCTTCTCTCTCTCTGCTCGTCTCTCTCCTCTCTCTCTCCTCTTTCTCTCTCTCTCTCTCTCTCTCTCTCTCTCTCTCTCTCTCTCTCTCTCTCTCTCTCTCTCTCTCTCTCTCTCTTCTCCTCTCCCTCTCTCTCCTCTCTCTCTCATTTTAATATATCTGCCTATCTAGCTATCTCTGTTAATCTATCCATCTGTCTATCTGAGTATCCCTCTAGTTACATTTTAGTGTCACCTCTTAGTGTTACATAGTGTTGCATATAAATACCAACAGCAATAAATAATATATAATAATAATATATAATAATAAAGATAATAATAATAATAATAATGATAATGACATAATAATAGCAATATCATATTATTATTGATGATTTAATAAATGATAATAAATAATACAATAAATATACTAATGATAATGAAATAATATCAATAGATAATGACAATACTAATAATAATACAATTAATAATAATAATAATAACAATAACAATAATAATAATAATAACCATGCCCTCTTCATGTTACATTCAACCTTCCCCCCCTCAAAAAAAAAAAAAAAAAAAAAAAAAAATAGCTCACCAGTCCCACTCCTCCGATCCAGTAGCAAGCAGGACGATCTCTCATGCAGAAGCAGCAGGTCAGAGAGAAGCACCAGTTCTCTTTACTGAAGCTGCAGCCCATCTTGTCTCTGAAAGGGAGATAAGGGGTTGAAATGAAATCAGAGGTAGTAGTAGTAGTAATAATCATAATAATAAAGTAGTAATAATCGTAGTAGTAATCAGTAGCTTTTAGAATGGAAGGCGAGGGGAGTAGTGTGTGTGGGGGTGTGGTGTGTGGTTGGGTGGGGGGTTGTGGGTATGTGTGTGGAGGAAGGGTGTGTGGTTTGTGTTTGTGTGGGGGGGGGGTGTTGTGTGTTTGTGGGTGTTTGTGTTGTGTGGTGTGGGGGGAGGTGTGGTTGTGTGTGGGTGTGTCTGTGTGTGTGTTTGCGTGTGTTTGTGTGTGTGTTTGTGTACGTGTGTGGTATGTGTGGTGTGTGTGTTGCATGTAAAAGTTTCAGAAACAGAAAAAAAAAAATATAGTAATAGAATAGATAACTAAAACTACAAATACATGAGTGTAAAATTTCTTCGTTTGTCCAGACAGAAGAGTGTAAATATGTCTCCATTACGTTAACACATCTGAACCTAATATATATATATATATATATATTATATATATATATATATAATATATATATATATATATATATATATCTATATATATATATACGATAACAATCACACACCAACATAAATTTCAGATTTTTGCACCAAACACATACATTTCTGTGAACATGAACTTGATCTGCGAAAAAAAGGCTTTTATGTGAGATGAACTTTTCCTATATCTGAACGAACGAAATGTGCATTAAAGGACAAGCAAGACATCCGGGCATGCACAGCGCCCACGCCCGGATGTAACACTTGAAAGGTATTGTATGTGCGTTTGTTGTTGCTGTGTTGTGTTTTCTTGTTTTTAGGAAAATTCCCTATTTTTTTCTTCTTGTTTTTTCTGTTATCATTATGATTTTTGTTATTATCATTATCTTTACTATCATGATGATGATCATCATTATGGTAATAATGATGATAGCAATAATGATTACTTTCTTCCTATTTTTTCTATTATCATTATTGTTATCATTATTATCATTATCATTATTATCGTTATCATTATCATTATTATTATTATTATTATTATTATTATCATTATTATAATTAATGTTGCTAGCATTATCATTATTGTTATCATCATTTTCAACATCATTATTCTTGTAATTATCATTATTATTGCTATTGCAATTATGACTTTTACTATTATCATTATAGCTACTAATTTTACTATTACCATTATTGTCATTATGTTATGACAGTGTTTACAATTAGTTATCATCATCCTTACTGTCACATTATAATTATTATCAATATCATCCTTATCACTACACTGTTATCATTTCTATTGATAATCTTATAATTCTCATCATTACTATTATTGTTATTATTATCATTATCATCATCATTATCATTATCATCATTATCATCATCATCATTAAAATCATTATTATCACTATCATCATCATTAAACTTATTGTTATTTATTTTCATTATTTTATAATCATTATTATTATTATTTATTATTATTATTTATTATTATTATTTATATTATTATTATTATTATAATTATATTATTATTAATTAATATTTATCATTATTATTATTATCATTATCATACTATTATTATCATTATCATTATTATCTATTATTATTATATCTGATCAATTGTTGTATCATTATATATTATTGTTAATAATATAATAATAATATATAATTAATAATTAATAATTAATAATAATAAATAATTAATAAAATAATAATAATAATAATATAATAATATAAAATATAATAATAATAAATAATAATAATAAATGTAATATATAATAATATGATATAATAATAATTAATCATAATAATAATAATAATGATACATAATCATTAATAATAGAAAATAATAAAACAATCACAATAAAATAATACTAATAATAATATAATGATAATATAATAATAATAACAGTAATAATAATAATAAAATGATAATAACAAACGTAACGATAATACTAATAACAATAATAGTAGTAATAACAGTAAAAATAATAATAATGATAATAATGATAATGTATTTGAAATAAATAATAAATAATAAAATAATAATAATAATAATAATAATAATAATAATAATAATAATAATAATAACTACTGCTACTACTACTACTACTAATAATAATAATGGTAACTGAAATAATGAAAATAATGATAATGATAATATGATAATAATAAAGGTAATGATAACGATAATAATAATAATATCAACAATAATAATGACAATAATAATAATCATAATAATAGTGATAATGATACTAATGACAATAACAAATACAACAATAATAAAAGAAATAATGATTCCTTTTTATCATCTTGGTACCAATGGCATATTCTCTTTTTTTTATTTATCAATATGCATAAAAAAATATTCATGTCGTTGCTCAAGGAAATTAATTACTGCGCTTTCTTAGTCTTCTAAAAACTCAAGCAACCACAATTTATTTTTTCTTCTAATCTCGTCTGGTTTTCATATTTTTTCAGCATGTCAATATTTAAAAGTGCGCGCTTGGCTGCATAAAATTTTCTTCAGTATTTACTGTGGTGTCTCACGGCTTTCGAAATATTTTATGACATTTTCTATGTCATTAAACTTCATTTTTTTTTAAATAAAGATTTCTTAAATTTTCATCAACATTCACTAAAGAAATATGGCTTTTTCATTTTTTTTATTTTACAGGTTGTGTTAATTTTTTTTAGAGCTTTACATAAAAGAAAAAGAATTGCCAGATCTCTCAAAATTAACGAAGCATATTTGTCGCACAAGAATAAAACACAAACATTTAAAAATAATAATTCCGTGTCACACTAACCTGCGTTTTTGTCACGTCTCTTGAAAACACAACGATGGTGGCATTCCAGTGCCTCTGGTCTCAACTGAAACTGCCCATCCTGTCGAGTCCATCCGGGACTTCCCCGAAAATGTGTACTGCGCACGCCATACTAACCCATATCCACCCTTCCGAAAGAGGCGATTGTTGCCTGCGCCGAGGGCCGAAGGATATATGTCAGCTGGCGATAAGGCAAGTTTATTTTCATACGACAGGATGATACAAAATTCGTAAGCAAAATGACTTTTGGGGGAAATAAATGTATTCTTTTTTATCTTTGTTTGCGGTATTCACTCGGCGTTTTTTGGTTTCCATTCCTCTGTTTATTGCATCATATTCACCATTTGTCATTACTGTAATTATCAGTATCACTCATTAATTTCACTTTAATCATCACTATCAGTAGCGGCATTTAACCCTAAAATCAACGCAAGCAATACCAGCTGTACCAATCATAATGATTATCATGAATAAAGAAACAACATGAAAATAGAACGGAAAAAAATTAGCGCAGTTACCCCCTAGTTTCCATTCGTTTTCATTGTCTTGTTTTCCAAACATTTCTTTCCCATGGACGGAAATATAAACAAAGCGAGATATCGTAAGTTATTTGCATAATATTTTTGTTTACATGATGTATAAACAAAACGATATATGTGATTTGAATGCTAATTTTGTTTACATTCTTTGTCATGTCTTCCGTTTTCTGTATGTCAGTTTACGTATCAACTTGATTATCATATCTATCATTATCATTATAATTATCATTTTATTATTATCATTATCATAATTACAACTATTATCTTTATCATAATTACAATTACCATTATCATTATAATCATTATCATTATCATTATGAATCCTTATTTTATTACTTTATCGTTATTATTGTTATCATTATTATCATTATCATCATTAATAATAAGAATGTATTATTCTCATTTAAGATAATTTTTTCTTATTGATTACGAAATATCAGTTTTACATTACTATTAAATACATGAATTGTTCCTCGTTTTCTATGATGATGAAAACTATTTATCGTTTTCAAAAATGTCTTGTGGGATGAAAGCAAAAACATCTTGAACACATTTCTTTATTTAAACATCAGTCTGACATTTAAAATTTCCTGCATCCTCAAGTCTTCACAAAACCTCATTTAACCTCATAAAAGCGGTCCTCATAAAAATATAATACAAATATAACTTATAAGTGCCTTATAAAAACACAATATCATGAATTTTATTAATACATCATAAAATCAGAGAAACCTCATAAAAGCCTCATTAAAAAAACAGAAACCTCTTTTAAACAATATTAAAATCATACACACCTCATAATCGCCTCATAGAAAATAAATACTATATAAAAAACTATATACCTCATTATCGCCTCATTAAAAACATAAACCCATATACCAAACAACAAACTTTTTATCAAAAATCATACACACCTCATAGCCTCATAGAAAATAAAACCTTACATAAAAATATCCTATATACCTCATAATCGCCTCATTAAAAAAATATAAACCCATATACCAAAAAATAGAAACCTCATAAAACCCTCATTAAAAACATAAACCCATATACCAAAAAAAAAACCTCATAAAACCTCATTAAAAAACATAAACCCATATACCCCCAAAAAATAGAAACTAAAAAAAAGAAACTTCATAAAACCCTCATTCAAAAAATAGAAACCTCATAAAAAACCCTCATCAAAAATAATAATAATAATATAAATAAAAGTAAAAAAAAAAGAAAAAAATAGAAACATAAACAACCCTCATAAAAAATAATAATAATAGTAAAAAAACATATACCTAAAAATAGAAACCTCATAAAAAAACATCAAAATTTATATATATTTAATGATAATAATGATAATAATAATAAATAAATAAAAATCAAATCATTACAAGAAACAGCCCTTCCTCATACCACAAAAAACCCTCACAAAAAATAACCCCAAACAAAAACAAAAAATCCAAAAACACAACAACAACAAAAAAAAACCCTACCTCAATCCACAAAAAAAATCACAAAAAATAACACCAAACAAAAACAAAAAAACAAAAAAACACAACAACAACAACAAAAAAAAAAACACCCCTTCCTCACACCACAACCATGATCTCCTCCAGAGGTTTCCGTCTGAGGTCGGGCACCGTGGCACCGTCAGAGGGGAACCCCACCGGCAGGAGCAGCAGGAGTTTCTCGTTGGGTGGGCGGTCCAGCAGGGATCTGAGGGCGGGGCCGCAGTTGAGGGGCGTGGAGGTGAGGGTGACCAGACCCGCGTTCTAGAAAATATATAGGTAAATAGGGAAGTAAATAAGAAAATAGATAAAATGGGGGTGATAAGATAAGTAAATCGGTAAATAGGTAAATAAATAAATAATAATGTAAATAAAATGGGGGTGAAATGGAATCGTTTTTTTTTCTTTATGGAGAATTAGTTGCTGTTATCATTTGTGTTTGTTTTTTTCTCTCTCATTCTATATATATATATATATATATATATATATATATATATATATATATATATATATATATATATGTATATATATATATAAATATATATATATATTTTTTTTTTTTTCTCTCTCTCTCTCTCTCTCTTCTCTCTCTCTATTGTTTCTTTTTTATCTCCTTTTCTGTTTCTTTTTTCTTTTCATATATTCATTCATCCTCTCTCTCTCTCTCTCTATCTATCTATCTATCTATCTCTATCTCGCTATCTATCTCTATCTCGCTATCTCTCTCCTCCCTCTCTCTCCCTCTCTCCCTCTCTCTCTCTCTCTCTCTCTCTCTCTCTCTCTCTCTCTCTCTCTCTCTCTCTCTCTCTCTCTCTCTCTCTCTCTCTCTCTCTCTATCTCTATCTCTATCTCTATCTCTATCTCTATCTCTATCTCGTCATAAAATCAGCACCATGCAGTCTAAAAGACCCCCCCCAAAAAAAAAAGTAGCCATAACCACCCTAAAGGTACGGTTAGACTACCCATAGATTCGTGAATTCCAGCGATTTTTAATTCTAAATTATTCAGAATTGTTCATATTTCGTCTTACATCAATAGTTACATTTAAATATAAGCTCAAATACAAAAAAAAGTAAATACATAACTGCAAGTAAGTTGAAACCGCAGATCTCGTGAACATTCGAAATGTGGAATTCTGAAGCAATTTCCTCCAATTCTAGAAAAGTTGAGAATTACGAAAACATGAAAGAATAGCAAGAGTTAGGGAGAATTTCTGCGGTTTGTTTTAATGCCGCGTTTCCACTGGACAAAACCCAGAGTTCTTTTCGCAGTCTGAACACCACAGATGGGCGGATCGGTTCCAACCCACAGAAAATAATGGGTAGTCTGACCGTACCTTAACCAAACAGGGTCCAGACGCAACCATCCACACCAAACAGATTCTTTTCCCCTCCATTCTTCCCCTTACACTTTTTCCATCCACTCCTCCCTTCCACTCTTCCCTTCCACTCTTCCCTTCCACTCCTCCCCTTCCACTCTTCCCTTCCACTCCTCTCTTCCACTCCTCCCTTCCACTCTTCCCCTCCACTCCTCCCTTCCACCCTCCCTTCCACTCCTCCCTTCCACTCTTCCCTTCCACTCCTCCCCTCCACTCCTCCCTTCCTTCCACTTCCCCTCCACTCCTCCCTTCCCTCCATCCTCCCTTCCCTCAATTCTTCCCTTCCACTCCTCCCCTCTCCACTCTTCCCTTCCACTCTTCCCTTCCACTCCTCTCTTCCACTCCTCCCCCCCCCAATCCTCCCCCCACTCTCCCCTTCCACTCCTCCCCTCCACTCCTCCCTCCCAATCCTCCCTTCCACTCCTCCCTTCCACTCCTCCCCTCCATTCTTCCCCTTCCACTCCCCTTCCACTCTTTCCCCTTCCCTCCCTCCACCTCCCTTCCACTCTTCCCTTCCCCTTCCACTCCCCCCCCTCCACTCCTCCCCTCCCCTCCAATCCTCCCCTCCATTCTTCCCCATCCACTCCTCCCTTCCACTCCTCCCCTCCACTCTTCCCTTCCACTCTTCCCCATCCACTCCTCCCCTCCCCTCCATTCTTCCCCTTCCACTCCTCCCTTCCACTCCTCCCCTTCCACTCCCCCCCTCCACTCTTCCCTTCCACTCCTCCCCTTCCACACCTCCCTCCCCCCATCCACTCCTCCCCTCCACCCTTCCTTCCACTCCTCCCCCCCACTCCCCTTCCACTCCTCCCTTCCTCTCCCATCCACTCCTCCCTTTCACTCCTCCCCTCCCCTCCAATCCTCCCTTCCACTCCTCCCTTCCACTCCTCCCCTCCCCTTCCACTCCTCCCCTTCCACTCCTCCCTTCCACTCTCCCTTCCACTCTTCCCTTCCACTCTTCCCCCTCCAATCCTCCCCTCCACTCCTCCCATCCCTCCACTCCCAATCCACTCCTCCCCCTCCACTCCTCCCTCCCCTCCAATCCTCCCTCCATTCTTCCCCTTCCACTCCTCCCTTCCACTCCTCCCCTTCCACTCCCTTCCACTCCTCCCATCCACTCCTCCCTTCCACTCTCCATCCACCTTCCATCCACTCCTCCCCTTCCACTCCTCCCCCTCCACTCCAACTCCACCCACATGGATCGCCGACAGCAGAATCCCTCCCGCCAGCGCCGTCGAGATCTCGTGGTAGTAGTGGTTCCTCTTACGACCGTCGGGCAGCATCCCATAAGTCTGCTTGAACACCAGGATGAGCCAGGGGGCCTCCGTCAGGTACTCCTTCACCCACGAGGTCCGCAGCGCCTTCAGGTCCTGCACCCACTGGTCTCCTGTTGGGGGGTCGGGGGGTGGGGGATGGGGGGTGAGGTGGGGGTGGGGTGGGGTGGGGAATGGGGTGGGAGGTGAGGAAAGAGAGAGAGGGGGTGGGGTGGGGGTGAAGAAGAGAGAGGGGGGGTGGGGGTGGAGGGTGGGGTGGGGGTGGGGGTGAGGAAGAGAGATGAGAAGAAGGTGGGGATTCGAGGTTTAGAAATAGTTCAGGGAGGCTTTTTATTTGATTTAATGGGCTGGTTGGAAAGAAAATTCTCTAAGAAATTAATTAATAAAAATCGCATAATTCAATCAGTCCGAAAAAAAACAATGAATAATTAACTGATACCCTCCTCTTTCTTGGCTGATTGAAATCAAAATTATCTAAGAAATAAATGAATAAAACATGCATAATTCAATCAGCCCGAAATAGATAAACTAAATAATTAATTAATAACATCTTTCTTGGCTAATATAAGGAAAAGAATTTTTTAAATCCAAACCAGCAGATCCAAAAATAAAATTACTGAACAACTTCCTTCCTCTTGACTAGAAGAAATAAAATCGAAAAGAAAAAAAGAGAAAAAAACACCAACAAAAACAAAAGAAAAACTTCTTTGCTAAAAAAACAAAAACAAAAAATAAAACTCCACTCTGTTGATTAACACAGACAAAAAAAATCAAAAGAAAACCAAAAATAAACAAACCAACCCCCAAAAAATCACAAAACTTCCCCCCTTGACAAAAAAAAAAAAAAAAAAAAACTTTTGGCGTTCCTCCTCCTACCCATCCTCTTCTTGTAATTTATCTCCTCTTCCTCTTCCACAATCTCTCGCACCCGCTGCTTGACTTCAGGATCGCCCACCACAGCGAAGGTCCAGGGCTCGGTGTGGGCGCCAGACGGGGACGTACCTGTGGGCGTGAAGGTGGGCGGCGTGGATTATGTATGTTAGTAGGAGCTGTTGTTAAGACTAATGTTGGTTCTGGTAATTCTAGGAGGGGGGAGGGGGAGGGGAGGAGGGGAGGGAGGGGAAGGAGAGGGGAGGAGTGGAGGGGAGGGGAAAGAGGGGCGGGGGGAGGGGAGGGGAGGCGAGGGGAAAGGGGAGGAAGCGGAAAAGAGGGGAGGGAGAGGGGAGGGGGGAGGGAGGGGAGGGGGGAGGGGAGGAGGGGAGGGGAGGGGAGGTAGGGAGGGAAGGGGGAGGGAGAGGAGGAGGGGGGAGAGAGGAGAGGAGAGGAGGAGGGAGGAGGGGAAAGAGGGAGGGAGGGGGGAAGAGAGAAGAAGAGGAGAGAGGAGGGGAGGGGAATGGAAGAGAGGAGAGGGAGAGAAAAATAGAAATAGAGCTGGGCGATATGCATTATGGATTGCGGTTCGTGGATTATGGAGGAAAGAGGGAAGAAGAGGGAATGGATAAGAGGGTGAGGGAGGAGGATAAGATGGGGAGGGGGGATAGGAGAGGGGAAAGGGGGAGGTAGGAAAATAAGGAGATTACGAGAGGGTGAGGGAGAAAGACGGGAAGGAGGGAGAAAGAGGGGGCTGGAGGGAGGGAGGGAGTGAGGAAGATAAGGAGACGGGACGGAGGGATGGGTGAGGGAGGGTGGAAAGGAAGGGAGAGGGTGAGGGAGGAAAGAGGGAAAGGAGGGGAATAGGGGGAGAAAAGGGAGAGGGAAAGACCGAGAGAGAGAGAGAGAGAGAGAGGAAAGAAAAAGAAGAAGAAGCAACAGCAGCAGTAGATGGAGAAGAAAAGAGAGAGAGGAGGAGAGAGAGAGAGAAAGAGAAGAAAGAAGAGAGAGAGAAGAAGAGAGAAACAGAGACAGAGACAGAAACAGACAGAGACAGAGACACACACACACACAGAAAGAGAGAAACCGGTGCACAGAGGAAAGGAGAGAGAAGAAGAGAGATAAAGAAAGACAGCAACCAGCTCTGTCCTCCAGGCAACGTATCCTAGGGCTATCGTTGCCAATACAATATCAAATATCACCCAGCTTATTCTGTGTTCAGGGAATGCCTTTCTCTCACTTTTTTTCACGTCAGTATATGCCCATTCCGTAGGTCGTGTATACTGACGATCTAGTTACACTGCCTAGTTACGTGTCTATAGTTATCAGATGTATAGTGATCAGGGTTGTAGTAATATTGTGATATTGTTCTCGATCACATATTAGGAAGGAAGGAGGGAGGGAGGAAGGGAGGGAGGGAGGGAGGAGGGAGGAAGGAGGGAGGGAGGGAGGAAAGGGGGAGGGAGGAGGGAGGGAGAGAAAGAAAGAGACAGACAATTAGACAAACAAACAGACAGAAAGAGAGAGACAGAGAGAGAGAGAGAGAGAGAGAGAGAGAGAGAGAGAGGGAGAGAGAGACAGACAGAGAGAAGAGAAGAGAAGACAGAGAGAAGAAGAGACAGACAAGCAGAGAGAGAGAGAGAGAGAGAGAGAGAGAGAGAGAGAGAGAGAGAGAGAGAGAGAGAGAGAGAGAGAGAGAGAGAGAGAGAGAGAGAGAGAGGAGAGAGAGAGAAGAGAGAGAAGAGAGAGAGAGAGAGGGAGAGAGAAAGATAAAGAGAAAATAAGAAAGAAAGAAAAAGAGAGAGAAAGAGAGAAAGGAACAAAGAGAGAGAGATGAAACAACAACAAAAATAAGATCAAGAAGAAAATATGATAAAAAAAAAGATATAAAGATAGTTAATTTAAAAAAAACACGAACAAGGTCAACCACAGGTCAATCACCCACCCGCCGTTCTGACAACATTCTCGATGACCTCTCGCGGGACGGGGTCAGAGCTGAAGAACCGAACGGAGCGCCGAGAGTTCATCATTTCGTAAAATTCCTTCGATCTCTTGATGCTCTCTTCTGCCGAGAATCTGAAGGAAAAGAAAGAAGAGGTAGAAAAATATTAGATGTCTGGAAAATCGAAAAAAAAAACATTGAATTGGTTACCTCTATGATTGGTGTTGCCATATCTATGATTGTCACTTTCTTTATTGTTGTTATCATTATCATCGTTGTTGTTGTTATTATTACTGTTGTTAAAACTAGTGTTCTGTTCTTGCCGTTAGTGTCGTAATTGGTGTGTTTTTTTTAATTATCAAAATTAGAATAATCATGTTGCTGGTATCACCATCATTAATAATGTTGCTGGTATCATTATCATATTCATAATTTTTTGTCAATGTTGCTGCTCTAGTTTCGAATATTCCATTAATAAAACCACAGCCGTCAACATCAATAAAGTCAAAGTATAACAGGAAAATAACATTGATTTTTACCGTTACTCTTATTATTATTATCTTCTCGACACTCCTTTGTGTAAACTCTGTTGCCAAAATGACCATGGAGTCAAAATGCAGATTCCTGATGCACTCCAGTAACAGTCTTCAAATTTTCAATAACTCCGTCAATAACTCGCATTATGCAGTTTTCTCTTTCCCCAAATTTCTTCGATATACATTTGTTATCTTTCTTACGTTTATTCTTCGTTATATATTTGTTATCTTTCTTATGTTTGTTCTTCGTTATATATTTGTTATCTTTCTTATGCTTATTCTTCCCGGTTTCTGTCAGTGCGCCACTTGGCAATCCTGAAATAACAGGTGCTATTTCTCTATTTTTTTATATGGTGTTCACTATAGGGTCTTCCGATGCGTGAGTTGACAGCACTCAATCAAATTTCAAAACATTTCATCTCTTTTCCAAATTTAAATCATCTACCTTGATTTCACCATTTTCATTTCTAATATACTTTGCACATCGGATTTTATTTTACTTTAGCTGAAGTCCTCAAATTTCTGTTCTTCTCCTGTCTTGCATCCTCCTTGCACATGTCAGC